GGATTGGCTCTTTGAGGGTTCATAAAAGAAATTTTGGCGTTGAAAAGTACAATAACCGAAATACGGTTACCCTAGAGATCAGATTCTCCTCCCCACGCCAGGGTTTATTGCTGCTGCGGCTTGAGTTTAGTGATTTTCTGGACTAATTCTGCAAAGCCTGTATTCTTTGCTGTGTATGGCCCTAAAGTCTCTACCTGATTAGCTTAACGGTCAGCTAATGATTAGACAAAGATCGTCTCAAACGCCTGGAACCAGTAGATCTCCCGGTCTTTGCCAAGGGGGCTGAGTGTGTGTTGAGGTGTATCGTTGACACTCAGCCAGGCTTTTTCCAACTCTGTCTTCATTTCAGGTCAGCTGGAGGTGGGAGTTTAGGGCCGTCTCATGTTCTCCCGAGCATGTGCACAGCCAGGCAGATACACACGGCCCTCCAGATTCCCAGGAATATGTCAGATCTTTTCAAAGCCCCTACAGATGTTTCATTGCTCAGCTTTTCTTCTTCAGTTTTTTGGTTACTCTGCTGTTTGCCCAACTCTTACTCATTGCCTCAGGCAGCCACAACTTGAAAGCACTTGCCCATAAATATTCTTGATAAATGCATAACCTCTACTCCCACCCCCATGGGAGACAGCACGGGGCCATCTTGGTCAGTTTCAATAGAGGTGAGCCTGTCAAGTGAGGTCTCCCAGGAAACCAGATTGTAGTTCCTTTTATGAAGGGACGAAGTTTTGGAGATCCTCACTCTGCCATTTTCCTGCCATCACCAAGTCTTCCCTCTTTTATATCCTGGGAATTGTTTATGTAAGAACAGGATTATGTTCTTCGAATGTTTGGTAAGAGCAACAATAAAAGCATCTATGTCTGGATATTTCTTCATGGAAAGATTTTTCAATTAGTGCTTTATTTCTTTCTATTTTATCTAGGTATTTGAAATTTTTCTGTAGGTTCAAATTTATTGGCATATATTTGTGGCTTTTTGTTTTTGTTTTTATTTTTGAGACAGAGTCTTGTTCTGTTGCCCCAACTAGAGTGCAGTGGCATCATCATAACTCACAGCAACCTCAGACTCCTGGGCTCAAGTGATCCCTGCCTCAGCCTCCCGAGTGGCTGGGACTACAGGTGTGAGCCACCAAGCCCGGCTAATTTTTTCTAGTTTGATAGAGACGGGGTCTCACTCTTGCTCAGGCTGGTCTCAAACTCCTGAGCTCAAGCGATCCTCTGGCCTCAGCCTCCCAGAGTGCCAGGATTACAGGTGTGAGCCACCGCACCTGGCCAAATTTATTGGCATACATTTGTTTACAGTATTTTTTGTCTTTTAAATCTGTAATGTATATGTGAATATGTTTCCATTTTACATCCTTAATATTGTCAATTTGTGTATAATTTCCTTTTATCCCTATAAATTCTGCCACATGGCTATTTTATAGTCATTTTTAAAAACCAACATTTGTTTATCGATCATCTCTATTATACTTCACTATATCATCTATTTCTGCTCATTATGTACTTTTTTCCTACTTGTCTTGAGTTTATTTTGTTCTTTTTCTAACTTAAGTTGGATGCTTAGCTCACTAATTTTCTACATTTCTTCTTTTTAATGTTATGACTTTCCCATAAATATTACTTCATTGCATCTCATAAATGTTGATATTTAAACTTTTATTATTGTTCAGTTCTAAAGATTTCTGAGCTGCAATTATGAATTCTGGTTTGACCCATGGTTCACTAAAGAGGATGCATTTTAATTTCCAAAGTTAATTTTAGAAGTCTCATTTGTCATTTTATTATTGGTATTTAAATTAGAGAACAAGGTTTGCATAATGCTCATTCTCTGAAATTTGTTGAGTCATGCTCTGTGACTAGGCACATCATGTTTGTAAATCCTCTACATATACTTGAGAAGAATACACATTTTTAAACCTTTGGCTGCAGAGTTTTACATATGCCCATCAGATTAAGATTAATTGTGGTGGTCAATTTTTAAATGTTTTTTATCTTTTATATGTCAGAAGCTCAGCTAAGCTGGGGGAGAGAGAGTAAGAGAGCTGAGCTGCCAGGCACCGGAGTAGCCAATTAAAGCAGGAAGCCAAAAATGAGAGTTAAGCAGACGACTTACTGTGATGGTACAAGCAAGAGGCGAAACTGGAGAAAGACCAGCCAGTCCCCGCGCTCCATCTTCTCCGTGGAACTGCACACCTGTGGAAGGCGGGTGGCTCCACACAGCTGTGGGGGTCATCTCACCGCTGAGGGACCCACCCACAAAAGGCTCCCGCAGATTTACGAGCCCTGGGGTTGGGGTGGGGGCAAGGGGGAGGGCAGAAGTGGGAAAGTGTGAGTCAGAGTAGGGGCAGGTGACGTCCAGGCTTTGTCTTCTCTCCCCATAAGGAGGCTTTACACATATCCCCGTTAAAATTTTAATAGCTTTATAGAAATACATTAACCCGGCCGGGCGCGGTGGCTCACGCCTGTAATCCTAGCACTCTGGGAGGCCGAGGTGGGTGGATCGCTCAAGGTCAGGAGTTGGAGACCAGCCTGAGCAAGAGTGAGACCCCGTCTCTACTAAAAATAGAAATAAATTATCTGGACAACTAAAAATATATATGTAGAAAAAATTAGCCGGGTATGGTGGCACATGCCTGTAGTCCCAGCTACTCGGGAGGCTGAGGCAGGAGGATCACTTGAGCACAGGAATTTGAGGTTGCTGTGAGCTAGGCTGATGCTACGGCACTCTAGCCAGGGCAACTGAGCGGAACTCTGTCTGAAAAAAAAAAAAAAATACATTAACCCATTTAAAGTTTCTTTCTTTTTTTTTTGAGAGAGGGTCTCGCTCTTTCACCTAGGCCGGAGTGCAGCAGCATAACCATAGCTAGCCTTGAACTCCTGGGCTCAAGAGATCCTCCCACATCAGCCTCCCAAGTAGCTAGGACTACAGGTACACACCACCACACCCAGCTAATTTATTTTATTTTATTCATTTATTTATTTTAGAGATAGAGTCTTGCTATGTTGCCCAGGCTGGTCTCAAACTCCTGGCCTCAAGCAAAATACTCCCTCCCGGGCCTCCCAAAGTGCTGGGATTACAGGTATGAGCTACTGCACCCAGCCTTAAAGTTTTTTAGTATATTCACAGGGTCATGCAATCATCAGTGTGACCTATTCACTTGTCTTGACCTTTACTTTTTTTTTTTTTTTTTTGAGACAGAGTCTTGCTTTGTTGCCCGGGCTAGAGTGCTGTGGCATCAGCCTAGCTCACAGCAACCTCAAACTCCTGGCCTCAAGCGATCCTCCTGCCTCAACCTCCCAAGTAGCTGGGACTACAGGCATACACCACCATGCCCAACTAATTTTGTCTATATATATTTTTAGTTGTCCAGCTAATTTCTTTTTTTCTATTTTTAGTAGAGACGGGGTCTCGCTCTTGCTCAGGCTGGTCTCGAACTCCTGAGCTCAAACAATCCTCCCGCCTCGGCCTCCCAGAGTGCTGGGATTACAGGCGTGAGCCACCGCGCCCAGCCAACACATCTTTTTTTCTTATTTAACAATTTTATTGATGTACAATTTACATACCATAAATTTATCCATTACGTTCTTCTTACTAATGTTGTCTTCTCCCTCATTTTGTGTGTGAAGGTCATTTTCTGATGGTACACATGGTCTCGAACTCCTGGCCTCAAGTGATGCTCCAGCTTCAACCTCCTGAGTAGCTGGGATTACAGGCGTGAGCCACCACACCTGGCTTTGATGGTAAAAATGGAAGGAAAATAAAAGCAGAATGTGTGGAATCTTGGATAGAGAATGGCCTCTTGGAGCCCAATTTACCAGGGTTTACTTCCCAGTTTTATTTTTCAATCGTAACCTTAAGCTAATTGACTTCTCTAAGCCTCGGATTCTGACCTGTAAATAGCTCTAATAAGAGTCTCTTCCTTGGATCCTCTAAGGGTTAAGTGAGAGGACCACAGGCCAAGGATCCGCAGTAGAAACAATAACTCAAAAAAACGAGGAGTCCCTCCCTTCCCTGTGTCATCTGCTAACCTTGGGCCTCCTGAACAGTAGGTCTGTTCTTTCTCCGTCATCATTATCTCGTTCTGGGCATATTCCTTAGCTTCCTCAGTATTTCTGCAAGCCCCACTTCGTTCTGCAGTTTAGCTTTCCTGGCACACCTCTTACAGATTTTGGTTCCTCTTTTTATTCACTCCTAGCAGATGCTTTTCTCCCCATCTTTTGAATATTCGAGCACAGTGGGTTCCTTAGCTGTCACTGCCTGTCTTCTTCATTGACAGGATTCTACTGCGAACTCGGAATTTTATGTTTCAAGGCCTCCCGTTCCTTTAAAAATGCTTTTGCTTTCACGGCTTCTTGTCTCGAAATCTTACCTATCCTCCCCTAGATCTGTTTTCTAACGCGTCCGACCGCCCGCCTTCTCTGTGTCCTGCAACACCCAGGTCCCTGCGCTGCTCCACGACGGGCCACTGCTCCCCGCAGTCACCTCACACCGGGGTCGCTAACCAGGGTCTGTCGAGACGCCAGACTGCTCTGTTCTGGGCAGTCCACGAGAAACGAACCTCGGTACCGGTTCGGCTTAACGTGGAGGAGGCGCCGCTCAAGGCCAAACGCAAACTGCTGCGGATGCGCGGGCCACACGCTTCCACGCGCACTAAGCATGTACGTGCCGGGATCTGCGCTTCTGCGCCACGCTTCGCGGGCCCGAGCTTTCGGGCGACCGCAGCGAAGGGAAGGTGGGTTTCCAGAACCTTCGCCGCATACTGAGGACCCGGCGCAGGCCCGCTGCCCGCGCTCGCGGCGCCCACCTCCGCCGCGGCGGGATGAGCTCAGCGCGTCCCCGGCCCGGCGGTACCATCGCCGCGCAGGGGGGTTCGGCCCGCTCCGCCGCGTCCCCGCGCCCGGCCCCGCGCCCGCCACCCCCGCGCGGGCTCCGCGGTGCGCCGGGCCGGGGCTTTATAGCGGCGCGGGGCGGCTGCGCGCCGCTCCCTGCGCCCGCTCGCGTCGGCCCGCCAGGATGCAGCTCAAGCCGATGGAGATCAACCCCGAGGTGAGCGCGGTGCGGGGCGGGCCTCGCCGGGGGCCCGCGCCGCCGCCCCGCCTGACCGCCCGTCCTCTGCTTTGCAGATGCTGAACAAAGTGAGTGGCGTCGCCCGCCGCGGCCCCGAGCCCGGGGCGCCCCGGCTGCCGGCGGTGACCGGGCTGCGCGCCCCGGAGGCGGCGGGGCGGGGGCGGCCGCCCTCCCTGTGCCCTGCGTTCGGGGGCGACCCTGCGAACCGGCCGGGGGCGACGGAGGAGGCCGCGCCCCGCTGCGAGCAGAGCCGGGCGGAGCCCCCGAGGGCGTGGCGCGGCCTCGTCTACACCGGCTTCGCGGGAGCCACGTGTGGGCCGCGCTTTGTGCTGTGTCACTGCGCCCGCTGGGGTGGGGGTGGCGGGGCGGGGCCGCCTCCCGGGCTCGGGCGGGGTGCGCAGGGGCGCGTGCGAGCCCCGCCTGTCCCCGCGCGCCTGGCCGCCCCGTGTCCTCCCCGCAGGTGCTGGCCCGGCTGGGGGTCGCCGGGCAGTGGCGCTTCGCGGACGTGCTGGGGCTGGAGGAGGAGACGCTGGGCTCGGTGCCCGCGCCCGCCTGCGCGCTGCTGCTGCTGTTCCCCCTCACCGCGCAGGTAGGGCGTGGGCGCGGGTGCGGGGGGCCGGAGGGCGTGGGCCCAGAATGCGCGGGTCCGGAGGGCGCGGGGGGCCCGGGATGCGGGGGGCCGGAGGGCGTGAGCCCAGAATGCGCGGGTCCGGAGTGCGCGGGTCCGGAGGGCGCGGGCCCGGGGTGCGGGGGGCCCGGGATGCGCGGGACCGGAGGGCGTGGGCCCAGAATGCGCGGGTCCGGAGGGCGTGGGCGCGGGATGCGCGGGACCGGAGGGCGCGGGCCCGGGGTGCGGGGGACCGGAGGGCGTGGGCCCGGGGTGCGGGGGGCCCAGAATGCGCGGGTCCGGAGGGCGTGGGCGCGGGATGCGCGGGACCGGAGGGCGTGGACCCGAACCCGAGGCTCTGGGGGCCGCCCTCCCCGCCCTGCCTGGGCGCCCGGACCTGGCCACACGGCCCCTCCGGGAAGGGTGCGGCCTGCCCTTCCTTGGTACCTCCTCCCTGGCTCCTGTTCTAATGGCGCCATTGCCTCCTCGCCCATCCATCCAGAATTGGTTGAATTTGGAACAGAGGCAGCATCTCAGTGACATCATCCCGATTAGCCGGGGAAACAGTTCATCTCACTCATGAGATCCCTTGAATTTAGCCGTGTCGAGCCTCCCCTTCCCGGAGATGGGTGGTTGTTGCTCCGTGGGGGCTGGAACCTGACAGCCCATTGTTCGGGTCTCAGACTGGCGGTAAGACGAGGGGGCAGGACCTGCCGGAATCGCAGGGAAACTGTTAGGTTCTGCAATTCTCCGTCTCCACTGCCTGGGTTTCTGGTGGGTTTAGGGGATTCTTCCCCCTCCTCCACTTCCCGCAACACGCACACTTGGTTTTTAGCCTCTTGAATGTTCCCTTTAAAGCTTAACGTTTGTATGTTGGTGGTTCTGTGCGGGAACCACCTCCCCCCGCTTGTCCTTTCTTTTCTGATCCTGTAGCTAAACGAAGTGGGTGGTCATTAGCACAGTCGTAAACGCCTCCTCTGCTCCCTTCAGATAGTCTTCCTCCTACAAGTGTGCGTGGATGCGCACCTCAGTCTGAGCGTCAGGTATAAAACACACAGGTGGGATACTTGTTTTCTCGTGACGTGTGGCATCCCAGGAATCAGCACCGAATTGTCTGCATCTATTACTGTCCCTTCATCCCTGACTTGGGGGGGGAGGGTTGAAATTGGCTTTAGCAAAGCCTGAGGCATTAGCATTGGGAGCATCTCTCCAAACAGTAAACTGAAACATCGTCTTAAGGCTAGGTGTTCTAGAAGCATCCACAGCCTACACCAAGATGTGTGGGGAGTTCCAGGCCTGCCTTCTAATAAATGAGCTAAGTATTGTAAACACTTATCACAGCTATTAAGATAATCTTACTGATGTGTTTTTATTGCCAAAGCCTTTGGGCAAAAGGGAGCTGCCAAATTAGCTTCCTTGTTGACCAAATCAGACTCCTGTCTTCCACTTGAGCATCTCTCAGAGCTTTTCTCTTAGAGCGACCATGATGACGCGGAGGTTTTGAGCAGCGTTCGGAGGCCAGGCCTCTGGGAGGCAGTGTTGCAACACGCTTTGCCTTTGAAAGCTGACTGGTCTCCTTTGGCTGGACCAAGTGGATCTCGTTAGAGAACATTCTGGTTTGAATGGCTGTGTTCGAAAGAGCTCAGTACCTCATCCTTTAGCCACAGTTCAGCCTATGAGATTCATTGAGCGTTTATCTGCTACACAAAATGCTTACTGGGCAAAACACTGAAGCAAATTTAAAGAAAAGCGGAGGTTTTCTAGGTTGACTTCCAAACAAGCTACTGTTAATTTAGAAAGATATATAATTTTGACTGAGGAAACGTTATGACGTCCTAAATGGACCACTTCTAAAACCCTGATTTTAAGTGATAGTGAAATATTTACAGAAGTTTCTCCATTGCAAGAGCTCAGACAACCCTAAAGCATGGTGCTGTCCCATTTAAAATTTTTATCTACATTGGGCTAGAAAGTGAAAACTCTGAATAGTCCACGAGTAACAATTTAAGCATCTGGTGGTAGCTGTGAAGTGAGAATGTTCTACTAGTTGGAGTTTAGGTTGATTTTATGGAGCAAGAGAGCTTATTCCTCTGCTGGTACCACTGAGCAAGCTTGGACTCCGGTTCCACGTCCAGGAACACGAGGCTGCTAGAATTGGAAATACGTTTCTGATGTTCTGTCCGAAGTTTGCTGGTGATGAGAGATTGGTGTCTATAGCATTAGCACCCTGCTTTTAACTGAGAAGTCAACTTTTAAGCTCTTTAAAACGTGTTAGTGAAAGATCCAGACAGGCTCACTAAATTACTGCACGAAACGCTAGCAGATGTTTTGAGGAAGTCCATCTCTTAGTCTCCCTCGTTTACCAGTCTCCGTCCTTCTCCCCAAATTGCCAATCTGTCCTCAAATTAAACTGTATAACTGGCCATGGACACACTAGTGTCACCTCTTTGTCTTGTAAAATCACAGCCCGACACTCGGAACCGTCGGAACCGGTTGTCTTTCCTTCCTAATGAAGGGGGGAGGGGGAATAGTTGATTTCTTTCGCTTGCTCTTTTTGACAGTTAAGGCTTGTTTTGTTTTTGAGAAGTATACTTGGACGGAATAGAAATCAGAACTTTAAAGAATGGCGAGCTTGATTAGGATGCTTTTGTGAAATACAGTTGTTGTTAGTGTTAAAGGAGGAAAATGATGAACTGGTCTGTTTGTCTTCTGGCTTCATGACGCCCTGCCTTCCACGCTGAAAGGTGGCCGTGGTGTCTAGGCAGGGCCTTGGGCGACATCCAAGGCATTCGCTGCACTGCAGCACCGGGTGGAGTGTCGGAACCTCGCGGAGGCCGCTGGCTGGCGTGGGCGTGGGAGGCAGACGGGCCCTGCTGGGCACTGGCCAGCACCTGGAACCCAAGCTCCCGGTCACACATCCCATTTGTGTTTCCATTTAGGTGCCCGAACTCACTGTACTGCCGTCTGTTCTCTGTATTTTCATTTTGAGACGCAGAAATGTTTTCTACATTCACAGCATGAGAACTTCAGGAAAAGACAAATCGAAGAGCTGAAGGGACAAGAAGTCAGTCCTAAAGTGTACTTCATGAAGCAGACCATCGGGAACTCCTGCGGCACAGTCGGGCTCATTCATGCCGTGGCCAACAATCAAGACAAACTGGACTTCGGTACGCGTGGGTTTTGAGGCCGGTCGTCCTTGATCTGAACTGGAAATGCGGGAGTTCAGAAAGCAGAGTTAACTGTAACACTTCAGTTCCCAAACCCCCAGGGTCTGTTCAGCAAATTCATTGCCTTAAAATCTTTTTGGAACCTTGTTTAGTCATGGTTACTACTTATCCAGGTATAATCCTCGAGCAAATCCTTACTCTTTCTTTTGAGGAGAGGAAACGCATTTGCAAAGATGCATGGTTTGGCTGCTCCCTGTGGAGCGAAAGTCTCAGTTTTGGGCTGTTTCGAACGCCCCTTTGCAGATGCAGTTCCCTTTGCTCACAGCTTCCGTGGCTCTGACGTGAAGGACACTTGACAGCCGGTTAGTGTAGCGATTCTCACGTGGTCCCACTCAGTTCTCAACATGCTGGAGAGCTGGAGATGAGCTTAAGCCAGAAAACAACAATAGGACATCTAGTTGTCTTTGACGGTTCATAAGCAACAGGAGAACCAAAGCAGCTTAGAGCAGCCGGACACAGTGTGAGTTGCTGCCAGGAGGGGTAGCAGCAGGTAGAAACCTTGAACAAAGTCAGGCCAAGGGCTCCAGCTCCCTTCCGGTGAATGCCGTGGGGAGGACGTGGGAGAGATGAGTCTGAGCCCTCGTGGTTGTGTGACGTACACTTAACAGCACAGTTCAAATAACGTGGCCGTTGTGTGTGATTTAGACCAAGGGTCAGCAAACTTTTTCTTAAAAGGCCAAAGAGTAAATCTTTTAGGCTTTGGGGGCCAGACGGTCTCTGCCCTGTAGCACAAAAGCAGCCGTAGATATGGTTGGATGTAAACCAGCAGATGTGGCCGTGTTCCCGTCAGACTTTATTTATAAAAATAGGGAACAGTGGTTCGCTGGCTCTTGATCCAGACAGTGGCTGGGGGTGGCTAGGAATTGAGTAATTTTAATAGTTCACACTGTTCCCTTGTAGCAGGTCAAATTTTTCTTCTTTCTTTTTTTCTTTTTTTTAACAAGGGAAGTACGGCTAAGACTTTACTCTTAGTATATTTTTTAAAAAACTTATTTTTTACTTTTATTTTTTTTCCTAACCACTAGACAACCAGGGATCTTAGTGTGTAAGTATATGTTTGAGATTAATACAAAGACCTATCTGGCCATAAACATCCAGATCATCTAGAAATTATTATTTTTTTTTTTTTTTGAGACAGAGTCTCACGGTGTTGCCCTGGCTTGAGTGCCGTGGCATCATCCTCGCTCACAGCAACCTCAAACTCCTGGGCTCAAGCGATCCTCCTGCCTCAGCCTCCCGAGTAGCTGGGACTACAGGCATGCACCACCATGCCCGGCTAATTTTTTCTATATATTTTTAGTTGTCCAATTAATTTCTTTCTATTTTTAGTAGAAACAGGGTCCTGTTCTTGCTCAGGCTGGTTTCGAACTCCTGAGCTCAAACAATCCGCCCGCCTTGGCCTCCCAGAGAGCTAGGATTACAGGCGTGAGCCACTGTGCCCGGCCTTGAAATTATTTTTAAAATATTGATTAAGCCATATTAAAAAGCTGCGGCTTAATCCTTTCTGTTTCTTCTGTAGTCAGCCTCACTGTAGAGTGCTGTGTTCCTGAGGTCTGGGGTGCTGTAAGTTTTGTTAACCAGGGTAATGGACTGTCGAAGACGTAAAGACTTACAGCCCTCCTCATAAAGTTAAGAGGATTCCTATCACTTCCAAATTTCAAAATGGTCTCCATTTAACAAATTTAAGTTTAGAGCTGAAAGTTCAAATTGAGGTCTTACGAAATATAAGCTGTAGCTGTTGTAATTAGCGTCTCTTGGGCTTATCCACACAGAGCAGTAACAAAATGCTCATGCCAACAGTTAGCCAGCCAGATGTCTCTATGCCAGATTGTTTGGTTCTTCAAATTTCTATTCAAGATCTTCGTGTTAATTTTTATCAGGGTAACCTGAAGAACTAAGATGGTATTGCTAACCTGAAATAAAAATCTTGGTTTGGGAACTGTTGTTAAATGAGAATGTGATTGTAGCATCCTGTATACGATGGATGTTAATCGTGCATTGTTAAGTGCTGTAGATCCAGCAATAGACAAGGCAGCCCTGTCTTTATGGCACTAATAATCTCACAAGTGTTTGTTACAAATGGGTAAGTGCTGTAAGAAAGTGGTAGGAGATTTGAGAGATGGGTTTAAGGTGGGAGGGGGAAAGGGTCAGTGTGGCAGAGAACAGAAGCAAGGAAGAGCTGGGCACACAGGAGGAAGGGAGAGGCCTTCTGGTCTGAATGCAGCTGAGTAGAGAGTTGTTGGAAGAAGGGACAGCTCGTCCAGATCCTTGGAGGCCGTAGTAAAGATTCAGGTTGCCCACGTGACCAGCTATGCAAAGGCTTGAGTCAGCAATAAATGTGTACATATTTGTATTATTTTATCTCTATCAATATATGCATTTTTTTTTTAAGAGGATGGATCAGTCCTGAAACAGTTTCTTTCTGAGACAGAGAAGATGTCTCCTGAAGACAGAGCAAAATGCTTTGAAAAGAATGAGGTAGGAAGAGAACTTTCAGAGTACCGCTTTTAAATAACTCCAGAGATGTCTGTGCTAATCATTTTCTGTTTTTTGCAGGCCATACAGGCAGCCCACGATGCCGTGGCACAGGAAGGCCAATGTCGGGTAAATGCAAATGCCAATCAGAGCCAGGCTGCCCTGGGGCTGCGTTTCCACTGAAATACGTGCAGGAATCTCTTACCGGAGCACAGCAAATGTTATCCACCGAGAGGATTCTACCCAAATAATGCTTTGACTGGACCTGTTCATAAAAATGGCTTTTCAGAAATCTGACTGGTAGTTGAAATAATAGTCTTGAGTAAATTCAGACAGTATTTTGTTTAGATTCATGGTAGAAAATATTTGCATGCTGTATGTCCAATAAAGGGCTGACAACTGGAATCTATAAAGAACTCAGGGAAATCAGTAAGAAAGAAATCAACCCCATTAAAAAGTGGGCAAAAGACATGAGCGGAAAATTTTCAAAAGAAAATAGACTAATGGCCAACAAACATACGAAAACATGCTCGATGTCTCTAATCATCAGGGAAATGCAAATTAAAACCACAAGGAGATATGACTTAACTCCAGGGAGAATGGCTTTTATCAAAAAGTCCCGAAACAATGAAGGCTGACGTGGATGTGGAGAGATAGGAACACTCGTACACTGCTGGTGGGGCTGCAAACTAGTGCAACCTCTGTGGAAAGTTGTATGGGGAAACCTCCAAGAACTAAAAGTAGAGCTACCATTTGATCCAGCAATCCCACTGCTGGGTATTTACCCAAAGGAAAATAGATCCAAATGAGTCTGATGGAGTCATACCTCAACTAGTTAACTGAGCATTTCAAATATCCTTCTCACAGACTGTTAGGGAGAATAAGATATATCAACAAAGACAATTTCTAGAAGGCTTAAATATCCCATAAATCTGAATAGAACCTCCGAATCAACTGCTAAACTCAGATGACAGTGCCTTCGTAACTGCAGTTGGCTCTGCCCCCTTCTAATCTCGACCTTGGGTGAGACACTTACCTTCCCTAAGCCTTAATTTCCTCCTCAGTAAAAAGTCTATAACAGGCCGGGCAGGGTGGCTCACGCCTGTAATCCTAGCACTCTGGGAGGCCGAAGCGGGTGGATCGCTCAAGGTCAGGAGTTCGAGACCAACCTGAGCAAGAGCGAGACCCCGTCTCTACTAAAAGATAAGAAAGAAATTAGCCAAACAACTGAAAATATATATACAAAAAATTAGCGGGGCCTGGTGATGAGCACCTGTAGTCCCAGCTACTCGGGAGGCTGGGGCAGGAGGATCACTTGAGCCCAGGAATTTGAGCTTGCTGTGAGCTAGGCTGACGCCACAGCACTGTAACCCGGGCAACAGAGTGAGACTGTCTCAAAAAAAAAAAAAGTCTGTAATAGCATCCCCATGGAGTTGTTCTGACAGTTACAGTGTATCTACCTTAATGGGCTTAGTATGTTGGAAATATACAAATAATGATTTTTAAGAATACAAGCAAGTTGGTTCAAGCATATTTCACCTGAATGGCAAGATAATTTATTTTTAACAAGTTCATCTTGTACTCATTTTCAAAAAAAATTTCTTGACTCTCTTCAGGTAGATGACAAAGTGAACTTTCATTTTATTCTGTTTAACAACGTGGATGGCCATCTCTACGAACTTGGTACGTTTCACTCCGTTTTTGGAATCCAGTATAGCTTCATGCATTCTTTCGGGCTTAATTTCTTGTACTGTTATGTGACTTTATGGTACTTGGCATATCATTTTTTTAATTTTTAATTTTTTTAAAAAAGATTTAGGGGATACAAGCGCAGTTTTGTTACACGGATATATTGCGTAGCGGTGAAGTCTGGGCTTTTTGTGTAACCGTCACCCAAACAGTGTACATTGTACCCAGTAGGTAATCCATCCCTCACCCCCTTCCCACCTTCCCCGTGTCATTGTTTATGAAGCCACAGTAACACGGTGTTCTCATGGGGACACTTAACCCCTTGTCAAACTCAGAGCAACTTCTCAGACAACTCACCTACTGAATGAACGGCTTTAGTCACAAACCGATAAAGAGAATAAATCTGATAACCGGTTAAAGTATGCGCGTTCAGACTTTGTCTCTTCATCAGCTCCTACAGCATCCTCTAGTATCAGCCTTTTCGGATAAAGGATACTTTTGGAAAAGGATCAGTGCCTGAATATGTCCTTGTTTGTGTAAAAAGAATTTGGGCATGTTGGAGTAATTTCTATTAACTGGTTTATGACCTCAAGAGAGATGATCCATCTTGTAAGATCCGTCCCTTTCGTATTAATGCAGAAGGCTTGCAACAGTGTTGCCTCAAGTCGAGACGCCACCTGTGGGCTCGCAGGGCAGAGCAGACCTGGGGGCAGTCTGCGGTCGTTGGAGGGCAATGAAATCCCTTCTTGCCTCCCCTTCCTGTGCCCACGCTCCGAGTCACAGCTGGCGCCTGACTCCGGCTCTGTGGTCCTTCCCAGGAGGTGGGGCACGAGCCCCTCTATTAGCGGAGCTGAACTGAGCTCGTGCGATCTTAATTGTGGATTAGAATTGCCTGGGATGGGCATCGAGGAACACTTGAACCTCATTGGCAGCCTGTCGCTTCATAACCAGGCTTCCTTTCGTGGGTTTGGCGGTGGTATCTGGAAGACTCTAAAACTCCCACTGTGGGCTGGGACAGTGACCAGACAACATGCAGAGAAAACTGACGTGCCCGGCTTCCTTGTTGCAGATGGACGGATGCCTTTTCCGTTGAACCACGGCGCCAGTTCAGAGGACCACCTGCTGCAGGTAGGTAACCTTTGAAATGCATCTCTACTAGGGCCCAGATTTCTGTGGCTAAATTATCTGTTCTAAATGGCTAACACTCTTTAAGTTCAGCCAGTATCAATTGTCTAGGTTAACAGCACCCTTTAGGGCTTGAAGATCATCTTAGTAATTCTGTCTGCCTTATTTTATAGCAAGTGGTTTTAAACAGGGTCCTTCGGAGAAGCCTTGACTAATCCGTGTCGTGTGCTGCTTTGTTTCCCTGTGGGATTAGGGTGACCATTGTCCTCCTGTCAGATGACATCGAAGCTAAAAGCTCACAGGACAGCCACCCGAGCCTTTCCTAATCCCTGTAACGTTGCTGGATTCGGGTCGGTCTCGTAGATAGTGATTTCGTTTAGGTGGTGAGATTCAGGAGCTTTTTCTTCCCAAGTGGTTCGCTATTGCAGAATGAAGAAGCAGATTCAAAACATGCTTGACAAGAACTCTAAGACCCAGGATCACCTCTTGATTCTGGACAAGAATTGGCAGAGTAGGCCCCTTCACCCTAAAAATGAGTCTCCAGAGTTGAATCAATTTGCTGTCATAAAGGCAGATTGCTCAGTTATGATAAAATACAAAAAATGCTGTTAAGGTTTAGCTACCTCATTTGTAATGATAGCTAATTCTCTCTTGAGAGTTTGCTGTGTGCAGATGACGCAAGGTTTTTCCGTAAAGAGCCAAACAGAAAACATTTTAGGCTTTGTGTGGTGTACGGCTGTGTTGTACACCTTCAATTCTGCTGTTCCATCTCTACAGCAGCCTGTGGACGGTATCTAAATGAATGTGTGTATCTGCGTTGCACCAAAACTACTTTTTTCACAAGAACAGGCAGCAGGCTGGATGTGGCCCGCAGACTGCGGTTTGCTGAGCCCTGCGCTAAATGCTATTCTAAGCGATTTATATCATTTTTAGAGTTCTTTTAATGACATAGGTGTGTGTCGTCATCTCCATTTTACAGACGAGGAAACTCAGGTGTAAAGAGGTTGGTTGAATAGTGCCCGAGAGCAATGGCTGAAAAGGCAGAGGCACGATTCAAACCTAAACTGTGTGCATCTGGAATCTGCTCCTTGCCACCGGCCAATGGGACCTTTCTTTCTAAGGGACCTATCTTTGGAACCTCTCAGCCTTACGATCCCAGTGGAGCAGATCATGCTGCTCTAGCAGGGAGGGTCACTTTACCGAGTTGGCTGCCGCACACACCTGATGTCAATGAAAGCTAATTCCTGGTATGCTGCCGAAACAATGATCAGGAATGAAGACTAGATCTAGAGAGGCAGGATTGGGGGGGGGGGGTGTTGCATGAGAGATTCAGAATTTACTTGTGGGAGAGAATAAGAACACAGGCAGAATTTCTGGTCTTTGATCCCTTTGGGGGAAAGACTCTGGTCTTTCTGATAAAGCTTTGAAGGTACATGCTAGCTCATATCCAAGATACTAATACCATAAAAATGTGTCCCACATCAGGATACCTAATGTTACATGAGTAGGATTTGAGGTGTAGGGGGGGAAAACTTTTAAATTATTCTAATTAAAATCTCACATAAAATTAAATGAGATTCTGATTAAATTCAACCAGCATGTTAATTAGTTAGGTTCTTACCCTAAGTAAGGCTGGTTCTGTATAGTTAAAGATGTTTTAGGTTATCTAAACGTCACACTAAATTACTGTTAAACTGGTGAGAAAATACGTAAACCTAATCCGAGTACCCGAACTTGGATGCGTGAGGTCACGCACGTTGTCTGTTGGGAAGATGGCTTTTCTCTTCCCTTAATGTCAGTGCCGAGTCCTGCAGGAAAGTTGATTTGGGGAAGGAAGGTCTGGAACATTCACATATTAAAAATCCTTATAGCTAAAATGCAGATGCCAATCTCCATCCCCTTTAGTTTTTAAATGTGGTTCCAGGGCAGGAACAAAGCTCCAGTGTTTGATGCTTTCTGAGGGTGAAACCCGTTACTGAGTTGGCGATTCCTGGACTTGAGGAGCTCTAGTGTCCCTAAATCGCAGAGTGTTCTTTTTTTCTTTCAGGTCTTAAGTTTAGCGTGGCTTGTGGAGCTTTCTTTCCACTGCGCTTTTTAGAAATTGAACAGAGTGATTGATCAATCCCAAAGCATTTAAGCCCTAGAATCTGGTAAATACCTAACGGTGGGATCAGTTTTCTGTTGTCAACCTTTGTAATCTAGGTCTTAGAAGTAGTAACACACGTCTCTTCACCGTAAATCTCTAAGAATCCACCCCTTGTCTGTACCTGGAATACCAGGTAAACTTTGAGGCTGTCTTGTAAACTGTTGGCTTGGAAGAAAATTGTCTCCACTCCAGGAATTCCTAAGTCAGGAGAACTTTTCTCTTGTGCCCTCTTAGGGAAGAGAGATCAATTTTCTATCTTGTTTAGATTTGAGGAAAAGGACATTAATAGTTTAGTTTTCTTGCCAAAACGAGTCTCAAGGTGAGAGAAGCGCAGAGCATTCGGGGGAAAATGATAAAGGAGTCGGAGCTTCTGAAGTCAAATCCACGGTGTGTGTTCCTGTTGCGTCCATCACCGGATTTTTTCACGCTTGCCTTAAGCCCTGGTTTTCAAGTTCAAGGAGGGATTTAAAGTTGATCAGGGTAAACTTTGAGCATTTATAGGCCTGGGAGGTACTTTCCCTCTGAAGCTTTTGTGCGGAGCTCTTGCTGTTTGGATGTTAACGACGTTCCTCCTTTTCAGGACGCCGCCAAGGTCTGCAGAGAATTCACCGAGCGTGAGCAGGGGGAGGTCCGCTTCTCTGCCGTGGCTCTCTGCAAGGCAGCCTAGTGCCCCGCGGGAGGGGCTCGCCCTCTTCCCCTCCTCCCTTCCACGTGAAAATATACACCTCCCCAAGCAGTCTAGAACGCTCCAGCGTTTGTGAAACACAGCTGTCCCCCGCCCGATCCGCACACGAGCCCTCCCCCCAGCCACGCCCAAGCACACGCCGTCCATCAAGCCCAGCTGGGTGTGAGCTTCAGATGGCGAAGCCTTCCCCCCCCCCGTGTCTCGTATCTAAATATCCGACGCTTTAAGTGGCTACTTTGGTCTGTGTCTGTAAGTTAAGCCCTCGGTGTGGTTTAATTGTCCTTACAAGGAATAAATCTTTTCTGCTGATAAGAGATAAACTTAAACTTGTTCTCATTTTCTTTTACCTTTTCCCCCAGTAGATCTCAAATTATTTTTAGAGTAATCTACAAATGTTTTCCATATAAGCATCTCGTAGAGCGCAGCTGAGAAAATTACCATAAAAATATTGGTTTGGTGCGTCTCTAGACTTTTCCTATGCATTTATATTCCCTATGTGTACCTGTGGAAACTAATGTTTAAAAAATTTTAAACAGTGTTTTTTTGAATAATTGTAGATCTATGGAAAAATTGAAGATATTACAGGGATCACATAAACTCCTCACCTAGTCTCTCTGTTATTAAGATATTGATACGTTGCTGTTAACCCAGGTCCATGGTTTATTCAGATTTCCTTCGTTTTTACCTAACGTCCTTTTTCTGTTTCAGGATACAACATCATATTTAGTTGTCATGTCTCGTTAGACTCCTTTCGGGTGTGTCAGTTTTTCAGACTTCTCTTGTTTTTGATGATCTTGACGGTTTTGAGGAGTACTGGACAAGTACCGTGGAAGACGCCCCTCTGTTGGGACTTGTCTAATGTCTTCTGATAATTAGGTTTATGGTTTGGGGGAGGAAGACCACAGAAGTACCATTCTCATCTTATAAAAAGGGTACATAAGCATGATTTACCACCGTTGATACTGTCCTTGATCACCTGGCTGAGGTGGTGGTTGTCAAGTTCCTCCACTATAAAGTTACTCGGCCTGCCTGGCCCATACCGTGCTCTTTGGAAGGGGGTCACTCTGCAAAACCCACACTTAAGGAGTGGGGATTTATATTCTGTCTCCTTGAGGGCAGACTATCCACATAAATGATTTGGGATTCTTTTGCAAGGGAGATTTGTGTCTTTTTAATCGTTTCTATCAGTATGAACTCAATGTGCCTTATACTGTGGGTGTATGTTATAATCCAATCCCCTGGGAGCTATTTCAGTTGGCTCTTGGGTCCCTTTGACATACCCCAATCAATGTAGGGTTTTTTTTAGCAGTTCCTTTCTATAATTTTTTTTTAAACAAATGTCTTTGGCATTTGTTAAACCTTACTTTGTAGATAAGTGTATCCTTATTTTATAGATAAGGACGTACTATGTAACTTACATGCTTTTGTTGAAGATTAAATGAGGACACTTGTTCTCGACGGTGGATACTGTAACAGTTCCCTTGTAGTTACACAAATTAGGGGCAGTGTGGGAAGGAACTCGGTGCTTCCTGCCTCTACTGCAATCCTCACAGAAGTGCTCTATCCTGTCTGAGGCCGGGAATCCAGGTAATCTGGATCTCAGCTGCCTCAGTGGTTTTAGCTCCCATTCTTCAGTGGTGATACTTCCAACTTCAACTTCTAAGTGAAGGTATCTCAGTTTCTGGAAAGAAAGTGATCACATCTATGGACACCCTATGAATGTAAAAACTATACGGTGATTCAAGTGATTCTAGTTGGTTAGAGTTGAAGCTAGGGGGACGCATTTTAAATGCTACCTTGGTGCATGTCTGCCATGTAATTATTTTGAAGATTAACTTAGGGGAAGGGAAGGAAAATACCCAGATTTGGATAATCTAAGCCACGTGATAGATTCCGTTCCCTGGTCACACTCACAATTGACACCCTTAAACTGATTCAAAATCAGATTCTATACTAACTAATGTGTCCTCCTCACTCTCTTGGGAGTTAGATATTTTCCATAGTGTTAATCGTTCTCTAAAAGGCAGGCTTTGAAAGAAATACATTAGTAGGTGCGGTCATCAGAATCAGTGAACTAATTATCAATACATCATTGTTAACTAAAGTCCACACTTTGTTCACGTTTCTTTAGTGTTCACCTGCTGCCCCCAGGATCCCACCCAGAACACCAGGTGACACCTAGCTGTCCTCTCTCCTCGCGCTGCCCTCGGCTGTGACTGTCACCCCAAAACCAAGTGCTTTGGCTCAGGATGCTGCTTTGGCTTCCTCGCCTGACAGTTCCGCTTGTCCTTGGTCTCCTAAAGTGACACCTTCCAGGCCGTCAGCTCCACCCCTCACCACCTGGTGCCTCGGCCACCCTAACCCCTGCCTCGGTTTCCTCATCTGTAGAGTAAGGACAGTATCTGTCTCATAGGGTTGTTGTGAGAAACGTGAGGATATTTGGGAAGTTCTTGGGGATGTGCCTGGAACATAGGAAGTGTTGTTTTCGTTTTTGTCACCACTTAGCTTCTTTGAGTCCCTCTCTCCTTTTTCTCTGGCCTTAATGCCAAGGTACAAAGTGCCCTTTTCTGCTCCATGTCAAACCAGACCACATGTCCTGGGATGATGCCCCACTTCCAAAACAGCTTTCCTTAAGTTGTCATCCTGTGCCGTAGCTCCCAGTCCATCGGCGCCTGTTTCTTTGCAGGGAGCGAGGTACATTCTGTCTCACATTAAGATGTGAAAAGTATACGTGTATTTATCCTCTTGTGGGTGCTGATTTTTAAGGAGGGAATCGTATAATTTAAAATGTAAAAGACAACTTGCTAAGGACAGAGAGGTGTTTCGAAAACAGATTTATAGGTTTGTCTGCTTTGGTTGACATTAAGGTGTCCCTGGTCACTAAAATAAACAACATTCCTATGTCCAGTGTTTAGATTTTTAAATCTAAATTGAAGGTCGGGTGTGGCAACTCAGGCCTGTGATCCCATCACTTTGAGAGGCTGAGACAGGAGGATCACTTGAGCTCAGGAGTTCAAGACCAGCCTGGGCAACATAGTGAGACCCCATCTCTAAAATATCAGCTGGGCGCAGTGGTGTGTGCCTGTAGTCCCAGCTACTTGGGAGGCTGAGGCAAGACGATGGCTTGAGCCCAGCAGTTTGAAGTTGCAATGAGCTATGATTGCACCACTGCACTCCGGCCTGGGTGACAGAGAGAGAGAGACCCTGTCTCTAAAAAACTAAAACTAAAAGTCAATCAATTAATCAATCTAAATTGAGTAGCTAATACCTGAATCCCCTATTTCACATCCAAGCCCCCTGAGTAATGGCAGGACAAATGATTTATTCACAGCTATCCTTGCTGTGTCCAGTAGGCAGCAGCATAGGGAAGCTTATGGCAATGGTGTAGCCAGACAGGATCAGCCAGAAATGCCAGCAGCAGCGGGTGACGGAGCCCCTTCAGAGGCAAGAGGGAGCAATAGCACAGGTATCTTCATTTTGGCCCGGGGTTCTGGACTGAATGAAGCAGCCCAGAATCTAGATTGGCCAAAGCTACCCCGGTGCATTGGGAACTACTTGTTGGTCCATTCATAATTTTGATCAAGTTCTATTTATTTTTTCACAATGATAAATAGGAATAAACAGTAATAATTTCAAATCACAAGTTCACTGTAAATGAATGTTTCCTCTGCTGATGTTGAGTTAGGCATTATCCCAAATATAATCGATCGTATATAATCAATTCTATATCTAGTAAAATCTTGCTTCAAATAGTGGAATTAATTGTATAATATGAAATTGTTAGATTTTTTAGGAAAAGATTTTCTTCAACACTTCAGTCAAACAAAGTTAATTTTAATTTTCATATTACCCAGTTTGCTTCCATCAAGAGAATGGGATCTGGTCCCAGCGCTGACAGTAATTAGTTCAGGGATAGTAACCGATTTTCTTTTCCTTTCTTGATCTCAGTTTCCTCATTTTTTCAAAGTAAAAGAAATAAGTAGATGTAAAGCCTACTAAAAAAGTCCCTTTTTCTCTATGCATTTATATGCCACAAGCTCTGAAAATGTCCTGAAAATTATTTTGAGAAAATAGTAACATCAACGAAATGAGTTATTATTTTCCAGGGTAACAGTTTTAAGGGGTAAATACCCATTTGGCTATGTAAGTCCTAATAAATCTCATTCCCTTGTGGTCACAATTCCAACAACTACAGTTTGAAATAGCAGGTTTGGGATGAGACCAGATCATCAATTTTAGAGTTTTCTATGTTCTACATTTTTTAACTTAATGTAATTTTTTTCATTATAATAAATTTATTTCCCTTTTAGTGCTTTTTTGGCGTTCTTAAAATTTAGCAGAAAATCTTTTTAATGGATGCTTTTAAAAGAAAGAGGTTATGAAATAAGGGTCAGAATTAGTGAAAGACATACTGGGGAAGGAGCAGGAATTTTATTCTAGACTCAGACTGGAAGGGTTCTTAGAGTTTGAATGTCACTAAATCCTTTGTTTCGTGTATGAATCCTCTCTGCTTTTCTATTCAGCCAGCAGGTATTTTTTTGCACCTCTAGTTCTAGCAAAGCCCAAAGGTGAGTGCTTCAGAGGAGGAGAACGTTATTTAGGGGCCACCAAGCTGACCACCAAAAGCGGTTTTGTGAGAAACTTAATTTTAACAACATGTGTTAACTTTCCATAAACAACTTCATTATCTGTGCCAACAGAAGTCAGTATTTGCATTGGTACATTAAATCTGCTTTAACTTAACTATTTAAGTAATTTTGTGTCTGAGATTCTGAGAGTTTTATAAGAAAAAGGCCATATAACTTGTAAGGAGTTGGCAAACCGTTCAGCTTCCAGAGAGGGTCACTTCTTATAGCCAGCCCTTCTCGAAGTGCGGTCTGGGGACGCCCGGGGCCCCCTGAGACCTTATAGGGAGTCTATGACGTCAGAAATATTTGCATAATTACACAAAGACGTCGTGTACCTTTCCACTCTCAAGAACGCACCAGACAGTGGTATTGAAACAGATTCAACGTAGAAGCAGACACACGAGTCAACTATCACTATTAAGCCCATATGTTGTTTTAAATAGAAAAATGTAAAACAATGCCATTCTTCTCATTAACTCTTTTTTACAGAAAATGTAGTTATTTTTTGCCAGAAGTATCGTTACCATATTTGTAATTTTTACTTTTCA